TATGTAGGTGGTGCAAGATTTCCTCCATCCACAGTATATATGCGCATGCGTATATATATATATACATATATAAATATATACACATATCCATAGAGATATGTATATATACATATATATGTCTATGTATACATACATATCTGTATATCTCCCCCATAGCCTCTCTTTGAGGCCTTACCCACCTGGAAGCGCTCTTCTTCGCGAGTCTCCAGGCCGCAAGTAGCCAAATGCCTCTGCAACGCGGCTTCCTGGATTGCGGTTAAGGTTCCTTAAATTAGGTTACCACAATGTGCATATATAGGGTTTAGGGGTTTAGGGTTTAGGGGTTGAAGGATTTAGGGTTTGGGGGTTCAGGGTTTTGGGGTTGAGGGATTTAGGGTTTAGGTTTTTTTTTTGATTTAGGGTTTGTGGGTTTAGGGTTCAAGTTACCGCAATATGGGTATACACCAAAGCATAGGGTCACCTTAGTTATAGTAATTCACTTTAAGTTCCTTAACAGCAACCCAGCTTCATCTGGAAAGGGGCGTCCGCAGCTCTGACAAATGACTTGCACCTTGCATGTCACATGTCATCATACTCATCGTCGTCGTTGTCGTCGTCGTCGTCGCCGGCGTCGTCGTCGTCGTCGTCGTCGTCGTCGTCGTCGTCGTCGTAGTAGTAGTAGTAGTAGTAGTAGTACTGCTGCTACTACTACTGCTACTACTGCTGCTGCTGCTACTGCTACTGCTACTGCTACTGCTATTGCTATTGCTATTGCTACTGCTGCTACTACCACCACCAGTACTAATAATAATGGCATGGTAAGAGCAATGGTCATAGCAATCTTAAGAATAATAGTGATCTTCACCAACAGATGCGTGAACAGCTAATCGAAGAGTCAAAGCCGTTATCCTAAGACATCCAATTTTGTGTCTCCCTTTTCGGGTAGGTGCTGCATTTGAGCTATATATAGTCTACACTCCTAGTATCCGCGGAATAACCTCTATATAAACCCCCTTGCAGGGGTTGAGACTATAGCCCATTTGGGCCAAGTCACTATTGGAGGCTGCGGAACTGCGGCTTTCGGGCAGATCTTCGTATGAGCCGCCAACTTTTCAGCATGCATGGCTTTCCTGGGTTGCTGTTGAGGAACTTAAACTAAGTTACTAGAATATGGAACCCCATTTTTTACTATATACCCATATTATCATGGTACCCTACACCCTAAACCCTGTTCACCCATATTTGGGTACCTTAGCCTAAGCTCCTTAATAGCAACCCAGTGTCCCGCAGTGTTGGCAGCGCTTCTCAAAACGAGCTTGGACGGCCTTAGCATGGGCCCACTGCACTGACAACAGGCTGAGGATGGTCGTGGTCCTTACATTCCCCTGATCTATTATCATAATTTTTATTAGTAACCCTACAGATATATTATCCCTACCTCCCCCTAAAGAATCCTATATACCTGTAGAATGTTGCTAGAATGTCCCTGATCAAGAGTTCTGTATATCTTTCTCATGCCAGCCTTGGCAATGCAAGGCACAACCAAAACGAGCTGGGTGCACGTTAACAGTTGCCGAGCTGCACGGTTGAAGTCGGTCTGCGTCATCTCTGGGGTCAGGTAGGGGCATTCCGGCAAAGACTGCCGGTGCTGCCGGGGCTTTTGTAGCTGGGCGTCCTCCCATTTTTGGATGCACTGCTCGAGGTGCACATCGATGGAAGCCTGAGGCTGAAGCAGCCGGGAAAGGGTGAAGAACAGCCAAGCCCTGAAGCGAAAAGTGCTGTTTGAGCTACTCTGTTCTATGCCAGTGAAGGCGTAGCTATGCCTGGTACCGTTTGGTGTCTCAGGAGCTGGCTGCTCCAAACTCGCGGGAGCAGATGTGGCAAGCGATGAGGCAGGGCACACGGCTCTCCGACACCACCATTGCGCTTGGATGCGATAAGTGCGAGCATAACAGCTCATGTGGACTGTTGCTTTCTTCCTTCTGTACCACAGCTGCTGAGGGTGTAGGGCATGAGCTTTGGCATCGTTACTTCACTTGCACAGAGCACAAGCTTGGCTTTGGTGTGACTGAAGAATGATCTTGCTGCCGTAAGCCGGAAGCTCAGCCGGCTGTTAGGGAGAAATGCTGCAAACAGAAGGATGCAGCAGGTGCGGCAGCAGGTGCTGCAAGAAGTCGGAATGCATTCAGAAATCAAATGGCCGAGGCAGTGGCGGCAGCTGGTCTGCAAACGTGCCGCCGGCTCCCTTCTGGACTCTGCCCTGTGATGCCTTGCCTTTGACGGCTGGGTCCGCCTTCTCCGGGACAAAGCCTATATGGGCAGAAGAAATTCGGTACCATTACCGCAGTGGCAGTTCATGCTAGTCCCGCCTATGATACGCGGCATCAAGGGGGAGCCTCTGATAGGATGGCCATCCAGCAGCACCTATTCAACTTTTGTGATGAGATGTTGCGTTGTGCAATGTTATGCAACGTCACCTCCAACTTTATAGGCCCTTGAGCCCAGTCGGGAATGGAGTAGGTCACGGTGTAGGTTCCGTCCTCTCGCAGACAGCAATTGGTCTCCAGAATCCCGTCTCAAGCAATGCAAACGGCGATTTACCAGTGACACATCTCTGTGTACGGCTACACGACTATCCGTAGACTGGATTGCTGATAAGGAACTTAGACTAAACCATGCTGTGGGTATAAAGTAAATAATAGGATTTCCCCATTATAGTAGCCCTAAATTCTAATCCTTAAACCCTAAACCCTAACTAATCCCTACACACTAAAGCCTAAATGCGCTATAGTCTCATGGCAGCTTTATTTGCAGAACTTATTTCAAGTTCCTTAGCATCAACCCATTCAACGCATGTCATTTCATTTCCAACCGGACACCTGCTTAAGGTTTTCCGCGTTGTAGTGCTCCTAGGAAAAGAACAGGGCGTCTTCCAAAACTATGCGGGTTTATAGAATTATATAAGGGATTACATAAGGTTTAGGGTTCAGGGTTGCCCAAAATTAGGGGTGCCATGTCATGGGGGTCTCCATAATGAGGACTAGAATATTTTGGGGTCTATATCCCAGGGTGGAAACTACCACATATGACAAAGGAACCACAATCGAAACACAAAAGTGTCTCGATGCTCTTGACCTTGAACCAAAAGACTTGAGCAACTGCCCGATGGTTGGACTGAACCCTAAACCCTACCGTGGCTTCATGCCACTAGTTATCCTTAGCCCGCAGAAGGCTGGTTCTTGGCTGATAAACTGGCGGTTGATGACCCTGTGGATGGAGGAAATCTTGCACCACCCTGTTTACCCAGTACTCTATGTAACACCAAGGTTTTTTTTTATACCCTATATAACCCATTGTAGTAGTTTCCATTTTCTTTTCCATTCTCCAAAGACTAGGGAATCTAAGTGGTGCAAGACTTCTTCCATCCACCGTACACTCACCCAGAGGGCTGCGAACTCGGAGGCAAAGTTTATGCCTTGTGAAGCACCTCATGTGGACTTATCATGTTATAGGGGTTATGAAGGGGTTATATTGGGGTTATCTAGGGGAATATAGGGGTATATTGGGGTTATATAAGGGCAATGGAAAAGAAAATGCAAACTACTATAGTATATACTTATCTTCATGGGTTCCCCTCCCCTCGTCCCAGCAAGTGTTTGAACTCAATCCAAATTTGCACAGCATATGGCTTCATTAATCATCTCTGCTGCCGGGAAGACTTGGGAGTTTCACAAGATTCGCGTTACCTTTTTGGGTCCCTACTCCAAGGACTACAGAATTTTGGGATCTATCTTGGGGTCCCCTATTTTGCGAATGTACCATTTTGCTGATGCGGTCCTCGTTGTCGGAGACTTCGTGCAACCGCACGTGGGCGCTAGCACGAACACCAAAACCTAGGTTGCAGCAAACATAGCTCACTTACATAGTGATGTAAAGGGATATGTCGCGAAATTGTAAGGACATGCAAGGATGTGTGGGAATGTGTAGGGATATAAGGATATATTTGGCAAATGATGCAGCAACTGGGCAGACATCAAGATGTAGGCTTTTGGGGCTAGGTAGTGGGTTTCCGCAAGGCAGGGTTATGTGCCCCAAAATACTGAAGTCCTCGTTTCAGGAAATCCTAGCACACCATCCCCAAGCATTGAAACCCGAAGCCCGAAAGCCAAAGTATGTGCTTATCTGTGTGGTTGTCAAAATTATGGTCCCTTTTTGGACACCTATGATAATACGGCACCTAAGATTTAGGGTACCCGAAAGGCATCATAACTTGACAACCACCCATATACCCCTAGATACCCTTATGGAACCCTATATAATCCCTATATACCCCTCATATAATCCCCATACATGCGCTTATACAACATCATAGAACACGAGTGGCCCCTTGAGGTGGCAAACCTCATTCTTACCCATTGGGGTAATATTATAATAGGGTATATATTGGGCTAAATTATATGATTGGGGTTATATACCCATTGGGGTGAGATTATCATCGGGTATATATTGGGCTATATTATATTATTGGGGTTATATACCCATTCGGGCAATAGTATAATAGGGTATATATATATATATGTGTATATTGGGCTATATTGTACTACTGGGGCCGTATGGCAGTTTTCCAAAATAAAGGAACCCAACACAGACCCCAATATACTATGATCGTAAAAATAGGAACCCCCCAAATGGTACCCCTAATTCTGGGAAACCCTACCCATTGGGGTAATATTATAATCTTCGAGTTGTCGGGGCCCCCGCGAGCTCCTCCTTCACCGCAGAGATTGCCAAACTCGTCCATAGCCTCTCGGCCCGACAAACTAGGGTTCCCTAACTAATTTTGAATTATAGGATTTAGGGTTTGGGATTTAGGGTTTAGGGTTTCAAGAATCCTGTCTGGTGCATAATCTCTGCCACACATGCAAGGGATGATCTCGTATCCTACTAGAATGGAGAGCTTCATGCTGCTGATATGAAATACCCTGCGTGACATTAGTCTACTGTAGCACCATGATATCAAGGTGGAAGGTACTTCGGGTCACGCAGAATTTTAGTATTATCAGCCCTATAAGCCCCGTATAGCTGCATGAAGCCTTGGAACCCCTGCTTCAAGGGCATCGCGTGAAACCCTAAACCCAACAACTTGACCTAAATCATACTTCAAACATTTACGCCCCAATTCCAAAACCCAATATCCTTATGCACCTGCTTCACTCTCTTGTACCTTAGGTCCAAAAGCGACGACAGTCACGCAGATGGCGACCCGGACACGTCCCATCCCTGTCAAGAGGACGAGGGTCCCTGTGACCATTGACACTTCTGAAATGCGACAAGAGCGGTCATCCCAGTCTCCATTTCATTTTTAAAGCTTTGCTTCCATTTCATTCTCCATTATTGCGGTAATATACCCCTTAGCCCTATACACCATCCCTATATAACCCCTAAAGAATCCCTAAATAGTAGTTTTATTGATTTTCTATTACAGCTTCTACTACATAATCTCTATGTAGGGGAAGGGATGACATAGACCACATGAACTATAGTCTAAACTCCTAGTATCTATCCCCCTTAATAACCCGTACACTAGTCCCTACATAATCTCCCAGGTTAGGATTTCGACCTAAGGTAAACAGAATCAAAGAGCACTCTAAAANNTTGGGTTTATATCCCCATTATGGTCGTAAACATTTTTAACCCTAAACCCTAAACCCCTTAATCTCCTATATAACCCCCTTTAAGGAGTTTAGACTACAGCTCACATTGGGAGCCTCACCTGAATGGTGAACTCTGCGGATCCGCCCAGCGTGCAACGCTGCGAGCCGTCGCCCCGAACCTGGTTTCAGGTCTTTGGGGGGTTTAGGGTTTAGGGATGGGGGCGTATGGTAGTTTCTCAAAATAGGGGGACCCCAATATAGACCCCAAAATATTATAATCCTTACTATGGGGACCCCAAAAAGGTACCCCTAATTTTGGGAAACTCCCATATAAGGGGAGGGTTTAGGGGGACTGTAGGGACTACCTCAAGGGCTAACTTCAGTGCAGTGGGCTCTCAAATATCTCCGACTAGGCAGGTAGCATTGGAGTTCTCTATGACAGTACTTGCAAGAGACTATGCGATACTGCCTGATTATTGCAATTTCGGATTTTCGCTACCTAGTTTCCACAAACAGGGATCGCTTCTTACTGGGCTGTTGTTAAGAATTCAAATTTAGATGCCTATTTGGGTTATTTGGGTATATCGTAGATAGACAAAAAGTTTCCTTCCTATAGCAACCCAAACCCTAAATAACAGGGTTTCCTTATTATAGTAACTGGATTTATAGTAAGCTAGTTGAAGTTCCTTAGCAGCAACCCAGTCTACGCTCAAAGCTGCCAAAAAGACTTCGCCTGTGTCGTGGTTGCGCTGGGAGGCCCGGGCCTCAGTAGCCAGCTGGCGCAGACCGCGACAACAGTAATACGAGTATAATATTAATAGTAATACGAGTATAATAATAATAGTAAAAATAATAACAACCATAATAACAATAGTAGTAACAATAGTGATACTAGTAATAATAGCAATACGAATAACAGTGGCAATAGTAGGTATATTAGTAATCTTGGGGCAGCTAGCCGACCAAGCGCTCGGCGTGACCGTCACTGCAACAGGACCTGCACTTCCGTGCGTATCCATGGTTCCAGCAACCTGTGCCTCTAGCAATCGCTACTCTGCATTGGATGGGGTCTGCACACATTGGCAAGGCGACGCCGTCCACGCATGCGGAGATCTCGTAGACACCCGGCGTTGCACAAACGAACTGTACGTGGTACGTGCCGTCCTGGCCAGGAAGCTTGACTGAGGACATCTTTAATCTCACTCAAGATCTCCTGGCATGTCGGAGGAACCCCAACCTTTGAAACATGATGAGGGAGCCTGAGCATCGAGGAAAGGATGAAGGACACTTGAATGACAGTATCTTTATAGTAAGGTTGTCGAGGAGAAAGCTTAGAAAGCTGTTCAAACTCCCGTGTGGTCGATGGTCACAATGGATCTCAGGGTTTTAGGGCTCGTAGGGTCATGCGAGCCATAGTCTAAACTCCTAGTATCTTCCGTAATAATCCATATAGTAGTCCCCTATAGAATCCCCTAATCACAAAACCCCCTTTAGGGAGTTTAGATTATGGGTCATGCAAAGATTTTGTCCTCAACATCATCCTGGGAGTCCAAACCCCACAACCCTAAATCCAAACCCCCAAAGCCCCAAGCCCCTTGTTCCCTAAACCCTTCAAGCCCTGTAATCCCCTGCCCCTTCATAATGAACCTTCCCACCCCCTAATAATACCACCAAAATAATCCCATTTTGTATTGGGGGAAAGAACATTCTCGCGGGGGTGGGGCGGGGGTTATTGTCAGGGGGATGTGATTAGGACCCTAGACCCTTAAACCCTAAAAACCTCAAACCCTTAAACGCTAAACCCTTAAACCCTAAACCCTTCAACCCTAGACCCTTAAACCTTTAAACCCCTAGACCCTAAACTCAATCATCAGGACGGTCATCCCGGCCTGACGGTCTTCCACGAAGGGACGGGGCTCAGGATGGGTTTTCGACATCAGGCTTCGGGCGGTCCTGGGCGCGCTAAGCATAAAATTCTGGGCACTAAAAGATCTGGGTGGTTGTCAAAATTAGGGTCCCTTTTTGGATCCCTATTACAATACGGCACCTAATATTTAGGGTACCCAAAAAGGGACCATAATTTTGACAACCACCCATCTAAAGTCGGGGAATGACTTTTGTCTGGGGGGTACATATGACACAAGTTGCGAGAAGTATCAGGTCAGGTGACTCAACCGCACGGTTTTCCAGACTTGGAGTTGTAAGAGCCCCGCACGATGCAGGTAACGGACGCGCCGCCCTCCTTCATCACCTCCGGCGGGAAATTGGGGTTATGGAAAAGAAAATGGAAACTACTACAATGGGTTTAGGGTTTGGTTATTAGGGATAATGGAAAAGAAAATGGAAACTACTGATGGAAAAGAAAATGGAAACTACTGAATAGTCCATATACCATACTATCGGGGTTTTCCCATAAGCAGGGAACTCCGATATAGAGCCCAACACACTAAACCCTAGAATATAATCCCTATAGTAGTTTCCTTTTTCTTTTTCCATTATCCCCATATGACCCCTATGTAGCCCCTATGAACCTATAAAGTCCTTCTTGCAGGGACCCCAAACAAAGCAGATTCGTCCCTCGGGCCGCTGCTTGGCCATCTGGGGACACGGTTGTCACCTGGGGGGGTTCATGCAGACTTTGAAGAGCTGAATGGAAACGGAAGGCTCTCAAAATGGAGCTCCCTTCTTGGAGGTTCAGGGTAACTATAACCCATTCAGAAATGTAAATTCAAAAAATATGATCATGTTTGGGGACATAGAGAACTTAAACTAAAGTAATACCTACACTGACAAGCAGGTTTTAAGTACCCTACACCTCTGGGTTGGCCCCTAAAACCCTTTGAAACATCAGTATATAGGGTCCCTTATCACAGCCATTAGGGAAAATGTTAAATATCCCAGGGGCCTACCCAAACCTCCCAGTTCTGAGGAAAGCGCAATAAAGAACATCCGTTCGCCACACTTGCCGCCCACCAGGGCAGGCCCATGAGCTAGGCAGTTGGCAGCCTCTCACATGTGGGGTTCTATAAGGGCTCTCTAGAGATTCTTCGGGATATATATATATAGATATATATATAGGGTTTATATTAGGGACTGTATATGAATACATACACATGGAGTGTTGAAGGTTCAGGGTCTAGGGTTTCTCATCGGTAGATATAGGTGGGGTTATAGGGGCTAATAGTGATTGCGCAGGGGATTAAGGGTATAAAGATAGTTAAGGTAGTTGTTGAGGGGGTTTTACTTGGAATAAACTTCCTAGTAACTAACTTAGGGGAGTTATGACCGCACTGTAAATATCCCGCGGACCTTCAAGCATATCACGTTACGGGTCCTGTGATGAGTCTGTTTGCATTCTGGGTTGCTTTCAATCGGCGAGCTGCCCAAGCGAACATTGCCTGTCCTGTCCTCATTGGTCCCTTCGGGCCGTAATTATTAAAGGGGCCAATTGGACCCTAACTTTGATAAGCACCCAAACCATGATATTATGTGTCGACGCTCTATGTGCTATTTCCTGCGGATTCTTATCCACTTGTAGAAGTTCCACAGGGTTTGGGGATGCTCTTGCTAGCCCCAGACCACAGAAACACTAAACCCCAAAACGCAAAGCAAAGCTTCAAACCTAAACATCCAAACTCGTAGCGCTACAACCTTAATTGTGGGGACTCCCACAAAGGGACCCATTTTTGCCCTGGAGCACTCTTCTCAAGTCTCAAGAACCGGGCGCCTTCGCCTTGACGGTTTGGGCTGGAGCAGGCCTTGAAAAGATGTTGCACCACTTGGGACAGCCAGAACAAGCCTCTGCGGACCCCCTTATGATAGATACTCCCACTATCTCACCAGTAAATGATGGGTCTCCATTTCCTTTTCCATTATCCCTATATAACCCTTGTATAGCCCCTATATAACCTCTATACAACCCTATCATGGGGAAAATTCTTTTAATTCTTTCTGCAATAGGGAACTCTTCAAGCTAAAGGCTTCCAAAAGTAGGAGCACCTGAAAACCGTAGGGATCTATGCGTGTGCAAAGGCATTGTAGGGGCTCCCTTTAATACATGAAGCATTATTTTGACAAGCTACCATACAGCTACTCCAGACATAGATGAGCTCCTTTGTTGTTTTGGATGGCTTAATAAGCAGGGTGGCTCAGGAAGCTCTGAAATTTAGAGCCATGCAGACAAACCCTAGACCCCGAAACCCTGACCGATTCTTAATGCCCCCCATTTATTCCTAGGATCTAGGATCCTACTTTTAAGAACCCCCCACCGAACGTATTAAGCTGGAGGTGATCTGACTGCTTCTCTGGAGAGAGGTGTCGTCAGGAATTGCAGAGATATGTGCCAACAACAGGGGACATAGGGGCCATCACTGGATTGCAACGGATCACTCTAGGGATTCTACCTACATCCTAGAGTCTTGGGGGTGTAGGGTCTAGGGGAGTTGAGGGGTTTTAGAAGCTTGTCTTGAACCCACCCTAAACCTTATAAAGCCCCCATATACCCCCTATAAACCCTTTAAAAGGTACCTATTTCGGAAAGCTGAGGACCGCGCTGCTCCAAAGCCTTCTTCTGCGAGGAAATAACCTCATCTGCCCTCGCAAGCCGCTTGGTGTAGGATTTGGGTTTAGGGTCTAGGGTTTAGATTTAGTTCTTAGTCCCGGAAAAAAAACAACTTCAGCAAAACAAGACAAGAAGGAAAAGCAGAGGAACTCATAATTGTCGTCTTGCTGATGGAATACTCATGCTTATTCTCTTGCGCTTGGAGGCAACGGGGAAAAACAAATAACCCTAGAAGTACTCAGAGAAACTGTAGGACTATACTCCCTCAAGCTAGCATGGAACGGAAACCACCTCCACGAAGACGACTGTGACTTATTCGACATGGGGTTTCATGTTTGTTTGGCGGCAGCCCCACCCCGCCTCCCAACATGAAGTATGTTACCAACAGTTGGCATTATAGAGCCCCTAGATGAGCCGTGGACTAAATTTGCAGTACATCCCTTCAATAGGTCCCCGATACCCCCCTAAATATTCCCTATAGTAGGTCCCCCCCCAAACCTGAATTTAGTCCGTAGCTCAGATCCTACCTTAAAGCCTCAAACGCACATAGACGAGATGGTTAGGGTACTGCCCCCACCCAGTAACAAGGGCTATATAACCATATTAGAATTATCATCCAACTGTGACTGAGTGGGGGCCGTACCCAAGAGATGGTCATGGACTTCAGCTGCCCACCTCAAGCCTTCAACGCCAACTCGGGGTGGCCTTTGCCTCGCATTCTTGCAGGGTTTAGGGTTTAGGGTTTAGGGGTAATATTGTCATAATTTAGGTGGACCCCCCACCCAGTAATACTGACTATAAGGGATAATAGGGATTATATTAAGGTCCTCTTATATTCTTATTATACCACTATTACAGGGTGGGGGGTCCTCCTAAGTCATAATATTATTTGCAGTAATAGTAACACGTTTATTATTGTTATTATGAGTATTCTCAGCAGTATTCTTGTTGTGGTTATTATTACTAATTATTGTGCTTATTCTTTTTATCATTGTGACCGTTAATCTTGCTCTGATTGTGAGCATTACGGTTCCGTACCCATGTACCCCAATGTAAATGCGTGTAGCCCTTGTTCAACCCACAATTGACCTACAGAACGCGCATGTTTGAGGCAGATACTCTGCCAATTCGATGATTGAGCATAATCCCATAACAGCTCATGCAGCCTTTTCTGGGTTACTGTTAAGGAACTTAATTCAAGTTATACTGTTGGGGAAACCATATGAATTACTATATATACCCATTATGGTATCCTAAGTTCCTCAACAGCAACCCAGTTTTGCATAGCAAACTTGTCAGTCTAATTTTCAGCAAGCTGCCGGAAGCCCAAGCTTCGCGATCCCCTGTCAGTTTTGCCAAGGAGGATGGCATGCAACCATGCTCGATAGGCATCAATATTGCTCGACTGACTGGTGACATATACACTACCGGCATTCGTTCCTCTTTACCCCATGCCACCAAGTAAACATATCCCTAGTTGGACACGCAATGCGTACACTGACCAACATTCTGAGGAACCCTAAATACCGCTTACAAAAACCTAAAATTCAACGCTGCGTGGTTTCCCACCTTGAAGCAAGTGGTCCCAGCAAGGAGTCGACATCTAAGGACTGGAGGTCGACGCCAAGCAGGAGCGCCCCTGCAGGTCTCACGTCGGACTTAAGGACGGGAAGTGTTGTATGGCTACTGGTCTTCTGACAAGAGATGATCTGCGTAGATATCTTGAAGTATTGCACTTCCCCAAAAGAGAGGTCGACCGAAACATGTTCTAGTGTGCTATAGCATGTCTGGCTGCACACCACAAAAAGGATCCCCCAATTATCAAAAAGTCCCAGCACAGGGCCGAGCCCTACCACCAAGAAACGCAAAGCCCAGGCTACCGATTCCCAGAGTCCCATTAACCGTAGAGACCCTAAACCCTGGACCCGAAACCCTGAACCCTGAGTCCTCAGCCCTAAGCCCTAAACCCTGAACCCTAAATCCTGAATCCTAAGCCCGAAACCTCTAAACCCTAAACCCTAAATCCTAAACCCTAAATCCCTAAACCCTACCTCTAAACCCTGAATCCTAAACCTTCAACCTCTAAACCGCATCATGGCCTGCTTCAGCGCCCGCCGCCTTTGCAAGTGAGGAGTGCAAAAACCCCCCGGCTTGCCTTAAAGGCTTACAGGGGTATATTACGTGGACGCCCCCACCCAGTAATAGTGACGATTATGGATAATAGGGATTATATTAGGGTCCTTTTATATTCCTATTATACCACTATTACAGGGTGGGGGGTCCTCCTAAGGGGTATATGTAAGGATTAGGGCTGAAGGTTTAGGGTTTTGGGATGAGGGTTTAGGGGATTAGGGTTTAGGGTTAAAGATTTTGGGGATTAGGGATTAAAGTTTAGACGCTAGGGATTAGGGTTTAGGGGACTTGGGGTGTAGGGATTATAGTGGGGTTATATAAGCTTAAATGAGCGTATCTATGGGGGCTTCGTAGGGGTCTTATAGGTATATCACCCCAATAATGGAGAATTAACCGGAAAGAACATCGAAAATCTAATGACAACAGGGGTTGGGGCTGCCAATAACTACACGGTGCAGCCTGAAGGGGAAAACCCTACGCCCCTGACCCCTAAATTCCCACCTAAAACCCTAAGCTCTAAATCCCCACCCCAACTCCAAAATCCAAAATCCCAACCTAAACCCCTCAACCCTAAATCCCCACCTAGAGGCCCCCAACCCTATTAAATCACCTAAACCACTAAACCCTGAATCCCCACCTAGGCCCCTAACCCATAACCCAAAGGGTTGCTTCGAAGGTCAGGGGGACTTAGTAAATAGCTTACTAGCCCAATAACCCATATAGTAACCCTGCTTTTCCCCCGATTAACCTCCTTATTCAGTCCCCCTGATTCTCCAAGTAAACCCTAAACGTTAAACCCTAAACTGAGAACCAGGCCTGGGATTGTCCCGTCATGTCCCAGATGTGGACCTGCTGTTTCCAGTCTTCTGTTCCTGGATGTGCAGCTTGAGAAGCTTTTATTTTAGGGCTTTAGGGTTTAGGAGGATTTAGGGTCTACGGTTTAGGATTTAGGGTTTAGGATGTAGGGTTTAGGTTCCAGGGTTTAGAGTTTAGGGCTTAAGATTTAAATTTTGGGTCTGGGATTTCAGGTTGAGGGCTAGGCTGCTGTTCCTTGGAGTCCTGCGCGAACGGGGAGGTTTACGGGGACATATTTGGGGATTCTAAAAGGATACTGGGAAATAAGATGGAAACTACTATGTAGGGTCT